TGACGTTACTGAAAAGAATCCGGTTAGACAAGGATGCCATACTGGTTACGCGGAGGAGGTTGGTGCATCAAAAAATTTTGATGCGAAGAAAAGGCTTTCTAGGGAGGCTGGCGTAATGCCTAATCCGATTATGATCCCTGCGATTCCACAACGGAGGAAACTAGCAAGCAAGATTACTTCCCCGGATATGCAAGCCAATGTTACGCTACGTGATCGAAGTGCGATGCGTTCTTTGACGTATTCCACGCATGCTATTGACATTGAAAATGATGATCCATGAGTTATTTCGGCTTTGACATATATGGAATTACCAATAAACAAAGATGTTGAAGGTTTGGACGAGGAGGATAATCTTTTTGATGAGGAGCTAATGGAGTTGGAAGTTCCCAAGGAGAGGCATGTTCCACGTCATAAAGAGGCCGCTAGGAGCTTAAGAAGTGCAAAGGGTTCAAGAAGTGGAAACAGAAAAACTCCGAAGAAAAAAGATGTTCTACGCAGGGGATCCCCACGGCTGAGAGTCCTAAGCTCTACAGCCCATAAGCAGTCTGGCGATAAAGGCAACACTCGTAGGTCCAGTCATAGAGCTCGAATGGATAGATCCAAGTTTCACAAAGAGGATGGTTCGATGGGGTCCAAAAAACCATCCCATGTTCATCCATGAAGACACTCAGTTGGAACTGTCGAGGAATTGGGACTGACCTCACAGTTCGACGCCTTACGGAGATGTGTCAGAAGCATCGCCCAGGACTAGTGTTCCTTTCTGAAACTAAGAATAGGAGGCTGCTGTTGCAAGACATTCAGGCCGACTAAGGATTTGATCGTTGGTTTACCGTTGAGCCAAATGGGCTTAGCGGTGGTTTAGCTTTATTTTTTATGGATGATTTTCAAGTTAAGGTGTTATTTTCGAATAATAGAATGATTGACATTGAGGCAGTCATTGATGGAATAAAATTCTATATGACATTTGTTTATGGGGATCCTGTTGTAGAACGAAGAGAACTTGTTTGGGAACGTCTTACGCGTTTCTCAACAACAAGAAATGGACCATGGTTTATGATTGGTGATTTTAATGAGATTACTTGTCATGAAGAGAAGGAAGGAGTTAGACAACGTACAGATAGTTCTTTCTTGCCTTTCAAGCAGATGCTTAGTGATTGTGGCATGCTGGATTTTCCTTTCACAGGAAATATGCTTTCATGGGTAGGACGAAGAGCAGGAAATGCAACTGTTAGATGTCGGCTGGATAGGGCTGCCGGGAATGAGAACTGGCATGAAAAATTTCCTCATTCGAAAATTCAGTATCTGGGGCTTTGGGGTTCGGATCATCGTCCAATCCTGGCTGACATTCTGAAAAAGAAGCCACGAAGATCGAAAAATTTAAATTTGATAAACGATGGCTTCAGAATGAGGAACACAGACAGATTATACTTGAAGGATGGAAATCACCAGATTTACCACCAGGAGCAAGTATTATGGAGCACATTATAAGCTGCAGGCGGGCGCTATGTGATTGGAAAAGACAACACAATCTGAATTCAGAGAAAAGTGTAGAGGAGTTAAAGGAAAAGGTGGATCGGTTATCCTCCAATGATGATGCCACTACGGAGGAGATAGCGGAGTCTCTAAAAGAATTGTCTGATGCCCTTAAGGCAGAGGAATTATTCTGGAAGCAGAAGTGTAGGGTGTTCTGGTTACGGGAGGGAGATCGAAACACAAAATTTTTCCATGCTTTAACGAAGCAGCGAAGAGCGAGGAACAGGATAACCCAACTTATAGATGCAGAGGGGAACGTAGTGGAGGATGAGGAAGGCCTGGTAGCCATTGCTACTAGTTATTTTCGACAAATCTTTCAATCATCAAACCCTGAGGAGATTGAGGAGGCACTTTCAGAAGTAACCACTACAATTACACATGCAGACAATGAGAGGCTCACATCTCCAGTTTCAGAATGGGAGGTTAAATTAGCCCTGTTTGCTATGCATCCTAAGAAAGCTCCTGGACCTGACGGAATGACAGCTTTGTCCTATCAAAATTTTTGGGATATCGTTAAGGATGATTTAACTTGTATGGTTAATGAATTCTTATTTCAAGGTACTATTCCGACAAGGCTCACTGAGACTAATATATGCCTTATCCCAAAAGTGGAAAAGCCAAACCAGATGAGTCAACTGCGACCCATCAGTCTTTGCAATGTTTGCTACAAGATTATATCAAAGGTTTTATGCCAAAGACTGAAAAAGGTTATTCCAGATATGATTTCTGAAACCCAGTCAGCCTTTGTTGCTGGAAGACAGATATCAGACAACATAATGATTGCCCAGGAATTATTTCATGCCTTAAGAACAAAACCAAGTGGGCGCAGTAAGAGAATGGCTATCAAGACAGACATGAGTAAGGCATATGATCGTATGGAATGGTCTTTCATTGAAGCCACCATGAGGAAGATGGGTTTCTCTGAAATCTGGATTACTTGGATTATGCGTTGCATAACGACAGTAAAGTATAAGGTACTCATGAATGGACAGCCACGAGGGAATATTGTCCCGGAGAGAGGTCTCCGTCAGGGGGATCCATTGTCCCCTTTCATCTTTATTCTATGCACGGAAGCGCTCGTCAGCCTTCTTAATCACGCAGAGAATCAGGGAAAGATAACGAGGATGCGCATCATGCGTGCGTGTCCTTCGGCATCCCACCTGCTATTTGCTGATGATAGCCTGTTCTTCTGTAATGCGGAGCCCCGTGAATGTGAAGAAGTAATTAAAGTGGTTACGAAATATGGAAAAGCCTCTGGACAGTGCATCAATTTTGACAAGTCTTCCTTACTCTTTGGTAAGAGGATCGGTCAAGAGGCAAGGAAGGAGATCAAAGATACACTTGGGATACAAAATGACACAGGAATGGGAACCTACCTATGGATACCAAAGGACATTAGTGGCTCGAAATGCAAGTTGTTTGCTTTTTTAAAAGACAAACTTCGGAACATAGTGAATGGATGGACGGGTAGATGGTTGTCCAAAGGAGGAAAGCAAGTTATGATCAAGTCAATCTTGTTGGCTCTTCCAACATATGTTATGTCTTTGTTTTTTTGCTTCCATTGGAGATATGTGATGCCTTGGCTAGTGCCATTGCACAGTTTTGGTGGAGTTCAAACCCACCAAAGAGAGGCCTACACTGGACAACATGGGATAAGTTATGTAAGCCCAAGGAGGAAGGTGGAATTGGATTCAGGATGATACATGAGTTTAACCTGGCATTACTAGGAAAGCAGCTATGGAGGTTGGCACAAAATCCGGATTCACTGGTTGCTCGTGTTATGAGAGGGAGGTATTATAGACAAAGTTCGCCTTTGCGAAAGCACACTGTCAGTAGTCCATCGTATGTGTGGACAAGCATCTCGGCTGCACGTGAGTTATTTCTATTGGGGATTAGACAGAAAATCCATTCAGGGTATGAATTAAAGGTATGGGAGGATCCATGGATTCCCACAATCCCAACAAGACCAGCGCATGCATCAGCTCCGGTGTTGAATCCAAATATGAGAGTGAGCGATCTTATCAATCAAGAAACAAAGTCTTGGGACCTGGATCGGCTAGACAATATGTTGACACTGATGATATACCTCTCATAAGGAGTATGGCAATCAGTTCAACCCATCGTAGAGATACACACTGCTGGAGTTACACAAGGAGTGGGCAATACGCAGACAAGTCCGGATATTGGGTAGCTCATAATATACTGATGAAGGAGGAGGATAATTTGGTAGATGAACCTAGCTTTAAAAGGCTTCAAGCACAAGTTTGAAAGGTTAAGGCACCCCCGAAGATGTGTCATCTTATGTGGCAGATCATTTTGGGACAGGTGGCTGTTACGAGCGCATTGAATCATAGACATATGAGATGCGATAATTTTCCAATGCCCACCGGCTTTACAGGTATAGGCCTTAGCATCTATACCCTCCAGCTCGTCTTTGTTTCCTTTGGAGAGCACCTATGCGAATATGGATTATCTATTCTGGTGGAAGAAAGCCATCCGTGGGCCAGAACTAGACAAGGATCCTTATCCTTGGTTAATATGGTACATTTGGAAGGCTCGGAATGACAAGTTGTTCAGAGGAATAGATAGAGATCCGTTGGAGTTGGCCCGGTATGCAGAGAGTGAGTGTCTTGTCTGGTTCCAAGCCAATGAGCAGGGTGTTGAGGTTACACAAGAGGATGGTAATACAGATCCGCAGGCCATAAGCCTACGTGATATTTGCATGATAGATGGTTCTTGGACCTCAGTAGATCAATTTTCCGGTTGTGGTTGGGACTGGAAGGATAGCATGGGTGACAGTCAATTAATGGGGATGCGTAATGTGAGTAGGTGGAGTCGGCGTTGCATTCGGAGATGGAAGCGCTGCGGTGGGCAATGGAGAACATGCTTCAACATTCGCCATGTCAGAGCTTTGGGACGGACTGCAAGAAATTGTTAACAATGCTCAAGGATCCCCATGGATGGCCAAGCTTTTCGACGGAACTAGAGAGGATCTCGACGCTGAGGATTTGTTTCCTAGATTTTAAGATTTCTTATGTACCTCGATCTCTAAATGCTGTGTCCGATCACCTAGCTAAGACTGCCCGATCCTTTTATCGGGATCTCATGTATGTTGGTTGTTCTATTCCGGTCTGGATTACCAGACCACCTCAAGCTTGAGTAATAGATCAGCCGTTCGTTGTCAAAAAAAAAAAAAACAATAAATTTCATTGAAATGACCAATAAACATCAGAACATATTTAAAAAAATAGAATAACATATTTTTTTGTCAGTTTTAGGTGTGTTCCAAAAAAATAAAATAATATAACGTCAATTTTAGGTATTGTTATTAACTTGATTGACCTTATTTAAATTTCAATTTTTTTATTTCATTCTAATTCTTAATTTGAATTATATTTGGTTTAAACATTTAAGTATGAGTATTTTATCTGACTTTAAGTATAATGTTAAAAACAATTCACTTATGTGCCATGATTATTAAAATAAAAATATTAACAATAATTTATATGGGTAAACAAATTTTAAATTCTAAACTATCTCACACAACATATGCAAAACAAATTCTAAAACTATAACATAAATTATTATTTTAATATATTTTATAAATATTAAAGCATCAAATAAAACTCCCATAGACCTCTACTAATATATAAACTCTGATTGGGCCCCATGAGAAAATTTGGACCTGATGTTGGGATCATCAACGCTCCAAAGGACGATGTTACACACCTGCTGCTGCTCCACTTAGAGCCACGGATTACCCTGAATTCCTAGTGGCCTAAAGACGCCTTTTGCGTGTTTGGGTACTACATGGGGATGATTCTCTTTGGGACAGTATTAGTGAAGAATTTGCTCATATTATTTCTAATATATAAGTTCTGGAGATAAAAGAAAATGTAATCTTGAGACCAATGGAGAATCGTCAAATATAAGATGGAGGAAGAATGAAAAAGTTCATTGCTGAAACATTACATGAATTCACAAAGCATTACCATACTACAATGATAGACAGATATCTCTCGTGCTTAGCCTCTCTTAACAGGATCAAAGTTGGAGACACCAACAACCACACCGATGATGACTGTGAGCACCACTCCTCCCGCGGCAATGCTAAGCAAGAAGTTCTTGAGAGAAGGAGAGACTCCTGTGCCTGCGGCTTCAGCCACCTCAGGGATCACCATTGAAACGGTGAGAGCTGCTGCTGCTAAGCCGCTCACAGCCTTCTCCATCTTCAGGTTAGATGCTTTCACTTGAAAGCTCCGTGAAGGCCTCGCTAAGGAGGAGGATGACGCCTTAGATGGCTTCAAAAGCAATGGCTTAACTAAGGCAATTGGTTTTGCCGACGACGATAAACGGTTTTGGGTAAGTGGCATGAACAATGACACGGCGGAGGTAGAAGCCATCTCTTTGCCTCTTCTCTTCGATCTTTTCGAGTTTGTTTTGCAATGTGAGTTTGGTCTGAGACATAAGATGTCTCATATGATGAGTGGGAGATATGAGTCTTACGTGGCAGTTACTGAGGTTGGAAGTATGATTCTTTAGATAGGGTTATCTTTTGTGTAATCACAGGTGTAGTCACACAAAACAAAAGTACGCATTGTGTAATAAATTTATTTCAACAATTAAAAAAATTATGAATCATACAATTTGTCATCAAACACGTTACAAACCTAAACCGTACTAATTCAAATATATGTTTTATATCATATTCACACACATTTTTCAATATCACACAAACTTGTAACATTCAATTTTTTTAACTGTGTATCTTTGTTTAATTTTCTTGCTTAATTCTATATGTCTTCTCTACTATTAAATTTAATTTGGAGAAAACAGTTAAAAAGAGTCTCGAGCTTTCAAATTGAAACAAAAAATCTTCAATTCGTGTTTGAGCAAAAGAACGCCCCAATTTTCAAATATTAACACTTTAACTTTCAAATTTAAAATATTTCATTTCAGTTTTTTTTCTTCATAATTCCATTAAATATATTAAAGCTATGTTCATTTGAAAGTGCCTAGCCATTGTAGTTAAATATTAAACTCAATGAACCCAATATACAAATTCTCAAAGGGAATTAGGTAGTTGTGCAATGTTTTAATTTATTTGCGAACCATGTATTTGAGAGGTGAATTATGACCTTGTTATCCTTATATAAAGATGATACACCTATGACATATATGTTTATTCAAATACAGCAGTAGATACATGACCAAAATATTTTGTAATGTTGGTTCTGCATATAATTAAATAATTACTCAATTTAACAATTTTATAAGTGTAGCATATGGTGAATGGATAAGAATCAAGCAAAATTGCATAATCAATTTACCAAGTAAAATAAATATTTGCTAAATATATTATTTCAGTTATCTTACCAGATATTACATTTTAATCTGGATAATGACTCTAATATAATTGGTTTAATCCAAATTCAATCATAAACTCTAATATTGTTGGTTATACCTATTCTAGTAAATGAAATCATGTATAAGTTTTATTACTGAATATGATATTGTTGATCCAGATGATAGTCAGTAAATACATCTTAAATTTTTGGCATACATTTTCATGATTGGAATAAACTAGATTAAGAATTGTTGGTTTATTGATAGAAAATCATAATCGATTGGTAAGTCGGTTATTACAAAGTATAACCACAAAATAAAATAATTTACCGGTTTTAACAACAATTTCTTAAAATGCTAGCCATGTATCATACTGCTTGATACATCATGAAATGTTTATGCATGAGTTAAATAACCGGATATTACAAAGTTATCCTGGATCTTACTTGCAATAGCCAGCGATATCTTTTTGTTAACTGAAGTTCTTGCTTACCTTATCTCTATTTCCGGTGACCTAAATCATAACTCTCGCCTCAAAAAAGAGAAACCCAAAGAAGATGATTATCATCCTCTTTTCCTCTATGATTTCTTCAGCTGCTACACAAGTTACATGGTTCGGTGGATTAGCAAACTCATTCAAGAGATCATATGCGCTTTTCGAAGACAACTTGGAGATGAAGAACATGAAGAAACACCATAGAAAGCGATCAAGAAAATCATTTGTTCGAGTAAACTCGGCCGTGTCGACTCGACTCAATAAGTTGGGTCAAGATCGGGGGAATTGGTTTGTGGTGCCTCGATGGATGAAGGAAATTATGGTGAAGAAGAAATAGAGAAGAAGAAAAGATATGTTGAAAAAATTATAAGTTTTGATGTCAGAAATTTATTAATAAGAAAAAAATTCAAATTTAAGTTGGTTTGTTTTTTGCATAAATGGTATAATAGTTATGTGGTTTTTAAATTTTGAAAATATTTAATTATTATAAAATCTGCATGTCAGATTTGACTATCCATCCATCTGAGATATCGATACAGCTTCCATAGGGGCAACAAAGTACTTAAAAAACAAAAAATCCTGAAAAGCAACAAATGTCCACTTACCTAAATATGACCCATTTTACAGTCACCCAATGAAAATTCCCTAAATATTATTCGCTTAGTTATCATGGCAATTATCGACCAGTCATTGCGGTCAATTATAACGACCATCAACTAAAAGTATTAGTCGCAAGTAGTTATAATAGAAAAACTTCTAAAAAATTAGTTTATAATTGGTGAACATCAATAGTTGTAAATATAATAGCTAATACGCTCCTTTGCTACTGTTGATTGCTATCGTTGGCGACTTGCAAACGATCAGAGCCAACATTTTATTCTTGGATTTGCACTGTGGTTTGTTTCATTAGGTGTTATTCTCTTGGATGCTAAATCGGTTATGACTACAAGGATTTTTTTTTTTTTTTAAAGAAACAATAGCTACAAGTTAAAGATGGGCACAAACAGAAAATCACTATCATCTCCTTCTATCAATTCCCATTATTTTCAGTGAACCAATAACACAATTATTTTCACCATTATTCAGTGAACCTGCTGGCGTTTGGATACCACTTGTAAGGTTATGATATCTACTTGTTAAGAAAGTTAAACTCTTTGTAGCACTGCCCCTGGACCTATTCATATGATTCATCTATCTTATTCATGACTCAAGAAATGTTCACCTATTCACGGCCGCAGCACGCTACCTCTGGCCGCAGTCCACAACATCCACTATGAAGTACTGATATGATGCATTTTTACATAGTTATAACATTTCATTTTGTACATAAATCATCATATATATTTAGGTTTGGACATCTTTAGGATCCATATTGCATTCATAAATCTTTCTCAGGTGTTGGAGTGTTCTATTGAGCTTTTGGAGGTGTTTAGAGATATTTGTGATGCAAAAGGATGAAAGATGAACATGGATGGAGACCTTAAAGATATTTTTTGAAGCTCATATTTTGGTAGTACATGGGAAATTGTGTTAGCTTTCTAATGAAAGTTGTTTAAAGTCATTTGGATATGTATTGGAGGAGTTATGATCAATCTACTAGGTGCAGCGACCCAGGACCCCCGCTCCACATTGAGCGCGTTTTAGAGCGGGGTAGCAGAGCGACCCAGGACCCCCGCTCCATATTGAGCGTGTTCTGGAGCGGGGTAGCAGAGCGACCCAAGACACCCGCTCCAGCACTGTTCATCTGACGAATTTTATGTTTTTGCTGGGCCTGTTCAGCTTGTTGGCTGAGTCCATTAGGGTTTTTAAGAACCCTATAAATATATTTTAGACCCTACTGATGGGATTATCTTCTTTTCTCTCTAAAAACACATTGAAACCTTAAAGAAAGATTTAATCTTTAGTTTCTTTTCTTCTTATTTCTTTGTGATTGTTTGATTAAACTTGCTTGTCAACATGATTTCTCTTAAGTCAACCATGGGTTTAAGGTTAATCATGAAGATTAGTGAGTAGAATCCTTTTGGATTCATGGGCTAGAGTGATTAAGGGTGATTAGAGAAGATCTAGGATGTTTAGTGTTAGATTTACTTGTTTCCTTGCTTGTTGAGGGTTCTCAATGCCATTTTAGTCTTGATCATACTAAAATGGATTTCTAGGCATTTCCTGCCCACAAGGTGTATGATGAAATGACTGAACCAACTCTTCAATGCTTTTAACTTGCTTGACCTAAGAGATTAGTTGCTAAAGAAGTTAAGATTGCCATTAGACTTGTTCTCCATATTTGCTTTAGTAATATTCAACCTAAGAGATTAGATGCTTGAGTTGCTTTAGTAAAAGAAGATTTATCTAGAGATAGAGCTTGTTTACGATTGTGCCTAGGCATAAGGAAAGTGTATGATTGCTAGCTTGCCATCTTTAGATTGGATCTACATCACCCAAGATCAAATTTTTAGTCCCATGAGTCCTATTGCTTCATTTTGAGAAAGAAAGATCATCCCTTTATTGCATTTTAGTAGTATTCTAGTTCAATATCATCTCACTTATTGGTTGCACTTAGATTGAGCATGGTCTTGCATTCCCTTTGCTTTAGGATCACTTAGAACTGGTTCGACATCTCTTATACTACATCATTTGATTAGGAGCTTTGAAAACTCCATAACATCAAATTGGCGCCTTTGCCAAATTCTAAGTTGATTTTGACGTTGGGATTTAGTCACTTGCTTGAGACTAAGTCATTTTTCTTTTCTTTTGTTACTGATTTCTTCTTCTTTATATCCCTTGGATTGGCTGCAGGTGTATGAACCGAGAAGTAGAGGAGCTGCAAACCTCTTACCTGAAGCTCAAGACATCCAAGCTCTTGAGAGAGAGTTGATAAGAAGAATAAGAGAAGAAGAGAGGCTAACCCAACTAGAAGATTTTGGGCTAGAGATGGAGAGAAATAACAATTTACCTCAACAGGAGGTTGTCCTTTCTCAAGAAGGCATTGGTCAAGGAGCTGCAAACCTGAGACCAAACCACAACCAGCACCAGCTAAGGAGTATTGGTGCTTATGATGAGCCTCACATCCATGGGAGTAGGATGGGTATTAGAGCTCCAGCCGTTCAGAACACCAACTATGAGATCAAGTCAAGCCTTATCAACATGATCCAGAGCAATAAGTATCATGGTCTTACCTTGGAAGATCCCTTAGATCACCTTGATAGCTTTGATAAGCTATGTGGGACAACAAAGATCAACGGTGTTTCTGAAGATGCTTTCAAGCTGAGGTTGTTCCCATTTTATTTAGGAGACAAAGTCCACACTTGGGAGAAGAGCCTTTCAAGAGACTTTATCACCACTTTGGATGAATGTAAGAAAGCTTTCCTTACCAAGTTTTTCTCTACCTCAAGAACTTCCAAGCTAAGGAATGAGATCTTTGAATTCACTCAAAAGAATCTTGAGAACTTTGGAGAGGCATGGGAAAGGTTCCACAGCTACATTTCTCAATGTCCTCATCATGGCTTCAATATGTAGAGTTTACTTAATACCTTCTACAAAGGAGTTTTGCCTAAGTATAGATGTCAACTTGACACTGCTAGCAATGGATCCTTCTTAGGTGGAACTGAAGATGATGCTTTGGAGCTTGTAAAGAACATGGCTAAGAGTGATTCAGTCTACAATGATGATCATGATAGGAGCAATAGAGGCAGTGGAGGTGAAGATCAAAACACTAAGAAAGAGTTGAAAGCCTTACAAGACAAGATTGATCAGCTCATCTCAGCTGGAGCTAAACAAGAGAAGGTTAACTTTGTTGGTGAGCAGAGCCAAGGAGTGAATGCTGTGGTTAATGAGGTTGATGGTATATAAGGACAGGAAGAGTTGTGCTTCATCAACAACAATGGTACTTGGTACAAGAAAGAACCTAACTTCCAGTACAACAACTACCAGCATAGGTCTTATTCCAACCACCAACAAGGAGGTTATCCGCCTAGGCAGAACTACCCTCCTGGTCTCAGCAACCAAAGCAATCAGTCTACTCAAGCTCAAGAAAGCTCTTCTCTAGCTTCAGATTCAAATGTGGACTCCATGTTCAAGAAACTCTTGGATTTTCAAGCCAGAAATGAAAAGACAATGTGTTATGAGTTCAAGAACATCCACTCTAAGATTGATAGAAGCTACAATGAGCTCAACAACAAGATCATAGCTTTGGAGAACCAGTTCTCTTCCATGACTTCCACCTCTCAACGCCCAGGGAAAGAACATTACAATGTTATCCTCTCCAATGCTACCCCTAAGTTTGACGTGACTGATCATAAGAGAGAGGTTGCTGAGATTGAAAAACTCTTGTATGGCTCTGAATTTGTGCAGGATGAGAACCAGAGTGTAGACACGGCTGATGTTCAGATTGTGGAGAAGGCCAAGGCTAAGGTCGTGGACAGTGGTAAAATCCTAGCTGTGGAGAAAGTTGCAACCAAGGTAGATCAGAAAGATAAGACAGAGGTTGTGAAACAAGCTTTGCACAAGGCTGAGGCTCTGGTTGGTAATGAAGCGGTCCAAAAGTTGTCAGAGGTTGGCTTGAAGGATCCAAAGAGTTTGTGCTTGAGGACGACAAGAAGGTTGAGCTATCTCCTTATGATAAGCTCCCTTTTCCAAAGAGGATCATCACCAAGGCTCAAAAGAAGGTGATCTCCAAGTTTAGGAAAGAGTTAAGTGATGTTGGAATCCAACTTCCAAAGATCTCAAACATGCAAGAAGCTTGTGACCTGATCCTCATACAAGACATCTTGGCTCACAAGGAAGATGTGACAAAGCTTCTTGACATCTCTTCCTCTTTTCTGGCCCCTAAACCTCCACCAAAGTCTCTTCCCAAGCTTGAAGATCAAGGAAAATTCATCTTGCCTTGCTCCCTTGGTGATTATAAGGTTGATGATGCTCTTGTGGATAGTGGAGCTTGTGTGAATGTGATCTCATTGGATATGGTTCAGAGCTTGAAGATCAAAGGCATGGAACCCAACAACTCCTCCCTCATGTTTGGAGATTCCTCTTCAACAAAGCCTGTTGGTCTCGTCAAAGATTTCCCTTTGACGATTGGAACTTGCATCATACCAATAGACCTCACTGTTTTGGATATGGCTAGCAAGAGGAGAACGCCACTACTCTTAGGCACACCTTTCCTTGCTACTGTGGGAGCTTGCATTGACTTCCCAAACAAGAAGGTGGTCCTCCACAATATCAACAAGGAAGTCTCCTATCCAATCAAGTCACCAATGATGAATGGTGGTTATTGTGGAACAATTTTGAAAGATGCATTGGTTGTTAAGGAGGAAGAAGTTCTTGGTGAAAAATCTTCAAAGAAGA